CTGTATAGTTTGACGAGAGTACTTCTTGCTTCACCTCATCAGGTTGACCAAACCACTCGCGCATGAAGTCATACATTTCATCCACCTTCTGGAGAACAGCAGGGTTTTCTTCTCCATCTGTCATGTCAAGGTAGAAGAACCCTTCATGAATACACGCCTCGAGGAGTCTTCCAACTTCCTTGGGATCACCACTCTGCAGAGCACTGTATCTGATGGTTCTCAGAGGTGCAATTGGAAGGTCTGCTGCTGGCAGTGAAGGTCCATCTTGAACAGAGCCCATTTTGACAGCGTAGGTAGAGATGTTCTAAGAGAAGTTTTTCTGACTTGGTGGAATTGGTTTAATGATGATACGAGAGTTGTTCTCATTCCAAACAATGCTCCTGATAGCATAGGGCCCTTTTATAACCCTCATTCTTGCCATCGCTCACGGGAACCGCATGAAGATGGCAGGACGAAGCCTAGATGGCGACATCTTCATTCCTTGCCTCATTAGCAATTGCAATTAGGTAAAAGTTGCTGAGAGAAGGGAAGCGAGACCACGAGAAAGAATGTCTCGCTAGTATTCGTCAAAGTGTTGTCTCTGCAATGCATACTACTCGAGACCTGTAGCTACGAATCCCTCAAGCTGACCTACTAGGGTAGTTGCAGAATTGCCACAGTACTGCAGAGGATATCCAACCAGATCTTCTGAGTATTTTCAGCTACATGCAGGTTGCAATGCTTCTCCGAGACACAGGTGGGGTGCAAGGTGGCTAGCTGGATGAGCTTAGACCTCGGGGTCTGACCTTGAAGAAATAGACTAATGCACCAGGAAGACGCAAGCGAGATTGTTCCTGAGCATAAAGAGGGGTAAGTTACCCCTCTCAATTTGACTCGCCACCCAATCTTCAAGCTGAACACGAGAACCGAAAAAAAAAAAAAGGAAAGAAAACAATATGGCTGACATCAAGGGATCGGAAAAAGCTTCCGCGCTGTCTGACTTCCGCGTGCTCTCTTTCGACTGCTACGGCACACTGGTAGACTGGGAAAGCGGCTTCATCAAAGCCCTTCAACCACTCCTCTCACAAATCCCAGACACTCATCCGCTCAAATCATCTACCCCTGAGATCCTCTCTGTTTTTCAAAAGATCAAAGCGCAGATCTTCAAAGCGCAGCCCATCCTGCTTTACAGCAAACTCCTCCAACAAGCCTACATTGCGCTTGCGCAGTCCCTGAGGGGCACCGGCGACCCCGATCCCAGCAGCACCTCGATTGAAGCTGAGAGATTTGCAGCGAGCATCCAGAATTGGGAGGCATTTCCCGATACTCGTGATGCTCTGCAGCGCCTGGGGCGGCACTTTCGCTTGGTGATCCTTTCCAATGTCGACAACGTATCCTTCGGCAGGACCCTGCAAGGACCACTAGAAGGGGTCAATTTCGATGCGGTCTATACTGCGGAAGACATCGGGTCGTACAAGCCCGATCATGGCAACTTTGCATACATGTTCTCGCGTCTGCATGCAGACTTTGGAGTCCAGGAGGAGGAGGTGCTGCATGTGGCGCAAAGTTTAGTTAATGATCATGTTCCTGCTAAGGAGCTGGGCATCACGTCGGCGTGGATTACGAGAGGGAAGGAGGGCCAGAAGGGGATGGGAGGGACCTTGCAGGATCTGAGGGAGAAGGTTGCCTTTTCGTGGAAATTCGCGGATTTGAATGAGCTGGCTTCGGCCGTGGAGATGGAACGACAGAGCTAAGACGTTGGCGGACTAGTCGTTGTGGTTGTTGTAAAGATGCATTATTAATGCTACCAATTGGACATGGCCACGAGATCTGGATTAGTTTAGTCGAAGGCGCAAATCTTCAGCTGAAATCCCTTGCCATTATTGTGCAAATAGTGCTCTACGCGATGTTACCTTGCAATATAGTACATCGCCTACTTCTTATATCTAAGCACCCCACATACCCATTAGTGCTGCTGTTGGAACCAATAACTTATGGGGTAATGAGACACCGAGTGATCAACAGATAAAGCGGAGTACTATCTCTGCAATGCTACCTCACTAACACCACATCTACCACAGATCATATCGAATTATGCATGCATGCTGCGAAACTAAGACTGGGGGTTGGTCAAATTCGAAATGCTGTGAGACGCGATCACACCATTTTTGCCACAAGATTAATTAAACATGCAGACATGCTGTGATACTCCGAGGGAAGGAAAAGAAACAAAGCGCAAAAAGGTCACAAAGCTGACGGGGTTGAATCTTGAAAGGATGTAGGTGAGTCAACAGCCGGACGCTTTCCCAGATAAAAAGGAAGTCCTATCTAATCATATCTCATCTAATCTCATCAGCACAGCAGAAGCAAAATACCATTGACTTATTCTACTTCCCTTATACCAATCTTAATATTATTACATCCAAGAACATGACACGAGGACCTACCAAGAGATCTGTCCGGATCGCCGGCTGTGCCGGAGGAAACACCGATCGCTGGGATGCAATCAAATCCTTTGCCAGTGACCCCAGCATAGATGCTATCATCGGAGACTGGCTATCTGAGTCCAACATGGTTGGAACGGCAGCGATCAAGGCGCGAGATCTCACGGAAGAGAACGAGCAGAATCGCTCCAAGGGCGCCTATGCTAAAGAGTTCCTGCAATGCTTCGAGCCTGCCATTGCAGACTTAAGCGCTCATGGAATAAAGCTCGTGGTCAATGCGGGAGCATCAGATACAGAGCTCCTTGCAATTGAGTGTCAGAAGCTTGTCCAGCGGAGTGGACATGGTCATCTGCGCATTGCGTGGATTGAAGGTGACGATGTGACGAATATTTTACTTGAACAGAGAAAGAAGGGCGACGAAGACTATCCCATTCGACTTTCAGGTAAATCGTTATCGGAGGTCGATCCCAATTTTGTATTTGCGCAATGTTATCTTGGAGGTTGGGGCATTGCGAAGGCTTTGGCTGAAGGTGCGGATATTGTCATTTGTGGGAGAGTTTCGGATGCTTCTCCTGTGGTTGGTGTTGCAGCGTAAGTTTTCCACAGTCGAGATTATTTTTTCTTTCGGACTGATCAAGATATTTCGGTTCTGACACAACTGTAGGTGGTGGCATGAATGGTCTGAGAACAACTATGATGAACTTGCGCGAGCTTTGATTGCTGGTCATCTTATCGAATGCTCTGGGTATGCCACTGGTATGTCCAGCATCAATTTTTGCCTCCATTCAGCATCCAACTAACACCTCAAAGGCGGTAACTTCACCGGATTCAAGTCGCTCTTGAAAGCAGGAAAGCATCTCAATCTCGGATTTCCCATCGCAGAGATCGAAGCCAACGGCGAGTTCACAATCGCCAAGGAGAAAAACACCGGAGGATGCGTGACAGTCGAATCCTTGACGTCGCAACTCATATATGAAATCCAAGGCCCATGGTATCTCAACTCCGACGTCGTTGCTGACCTGACAGGAGTGAACCTCGAACAAATTGCCCCAGAACAAGTCCGGGTAACAGGCATTGTGGGCATGCCACCTCCCCCGACGACCAAACTAGGGTTCACCACTTTCGGAGGATATCAGGCCGAATTCCACGCATTTATGACGGGTCTTGATATTGATGAAAAGTGTAGGTGGACCGAAGAACAGATCCGAGAGGCAATCGGTGAGGATATCCACCGGTTCACTGAACTGAGATTCCATCGTATTGGGTCCCCGTCCCTCGACACTACCTGCCAGGATCATGCAACAGTGATGTTCCGTGTCTTTGCGCAGACTAAAGACCCGGAGATCTTGCGGACGGATGTACCTAGAGGTTTGTTCAGATGGTGCATGTCGACGTTTCTTTCTAGTTGTCCGGTCGGTTACCCTACTTTATCACTTAATATTACTGTGGCTAAGATCTTATAGGCCCTCACCCCCAGCAACGACCCCCGACAAGTCCATGCAAAGCCTTACTACAACTACAACACGGGACTCATTCCTCAATCAGTCCTAAAGCATAGAGTTCACCTTCTCGCAACCGATCCAAAGAAAATCATCACAATCCACCCACCCAGCGTGACCCAAACATATGGCACCCAGCCCTCCCACGAAACAGAAAACCCGGTTGACATCTCTGCCTTCGGAGAGACAGTCAAAGCCCCCCTGGGCTCCGTCGTCTATGGTAGAGCCGGCGACAAAGGAGCCAACTGCAACGTGGGCTTTTACGTGAAACACCAAGATGAATGGGATTGGCTTAGAACGTTCCTCACGACGGACAAGATCAAGGAGCTGCTGGGACCCATTGAGTATTCAGGGAACCAAATTGACCGATTCGAGATTCCTGGTGTCAGAGTGGTGCATTTCTTGCTTTATGATCATCTTGATCGGGGGTATAATTCGTCTTCGAGTTGTGATGTCCTGGGGAAGAATACGTGCGAGTTTTTGCGGTCGAAGACGGTTGATGTTCCCAAGGTGTTTTTGCAACGTTATTAGTTTGCTTTCAGCTGGTGCAGTATGCTGTAGTTGCTTATGATGGGGTTTATGTCATGTTGTTCAAGTTATTCGGACTTTTGAGGGAATTTTTTGGAAGAATTTATTGGTAGTATCTGAACAGTTGATGTTCACTCTCTGAACACGGGATAGTCTTCTTCCTCGAAGATATTGGCTACTACTACTATAACATACCTGAAAAGAATTTGAATAGTGTGATGTAGTGACAGGGTTGAATGGTACTGCTAGTAAATAGATCCATCCTTTTCCTCCCAGTTATAGTCAGTTGAAATAGAACAATGCCGTTTATAGACAGCTCGGTCGATATATATTTATTGGTCCTACTGGCAGCTGTCGGCACATCGCTCAAATAAGAAGTGTATCTACTGATTAAACTAGCAAATTCGTTCCTAGCATAGGATTAGTAGCTACTGTTCGATTTGTGGAACAGGATAAAGTCAACTTATGTACACGGCGCTTCATGGAGTTCTTTATATCCGCGTAGTATATGCCACGGAAGGCTAGAGACGGCGGATGGGAGCTTTTCGAGGCTTTCCTGAATAGAAATCTACAATTGACTGCTTCTGAATAAACGAAATCACCGTGCTGTCAAGTATATACGATTGACAGTGTAGCGACTGTTTAGCATTTCCAATCATGGTGGTATGATGTTGATTTGTTCCGTGCCCCAACCCATGGCTTGACATTGCTGCAGGGTAGGCAACTGCAACGTGGTTAACTACCAGGTAACCATGGGTTTGTTACGAATAAGCCAATTGAAGAACCAGTTGGGTCTGTTTCGATTGCTAAAATTCAATCCGTTCCGCACACAAAACCGTCGGCAGAAACCAAATGTCAAGTCATAAGACGTTAATGTATCTCCATATTGAACCGTAGATGTTACAAGAGAGCCGTTGAATTTGACACCAGCTGGTAGCCTGCACCCAAGCGCCGTGCTCAATGGTGAACAGAGAAATTCGAGTGTGGTGATACGTGAAATGGAAATATTAGGTACCAGGTGATCGCAGATCGAATCCTGGATTTATGAGATCATGGGGTCGATATCCCCATTATTGGTCATTACGGTGTCGTTAGAGCCATTGTGGCTAGCACTGGTCGAACTGGCCAAGGGATTACTGTTGTGGGTGTTGGGGTTATCGCCCAGTCCGAGGTCCAGCTTCTCGGGTATATCCTTCTTAGCCTCCCGGGCTTTCTGTTCGGCCCACGCGCGCAATTTGACCAAGTTGCGTAGCCGGGCCTCTTTACGAGCGCCTTGATTCAGCAGGATGGCTTCGTTGACGCGGTTGGCTATGTCCTTACGAAGGTCGGGGTGTAGTAAAGGGGCAAGTGACGGGGACAGGCTATCCATCGGGAAGATCAAGAGCGCAAGAGTCCTCTCAAGGTCCTCAAGGAACTGTGGGTTGGTGGGTGCCCGCGGTGCGAGTTGCGAGGTCGCGAACTCGAGGGCAGGGCTGATGTCGCCATCGGGGGAAGAGGTGCATGAGCGAATCAACTCCACCAGCTGCAGTCGCAGCAAGGCGAAATGTAAAGGGGCATTTTCATCTAGGATCTAAGCCGGTCAAGTCAGCAAAAAGCTATGAAATGAATGTGATGACAAGTAACGGCATGTTTATGTCTTGCTGCTCATACTGAGGACTGAAGATGTTTGTTTATCAACAAACCCCAAAAGGGATGTTCTGAGTGGTGCATGAAACGTCGTATAATCCTTGCAACGAGGGTGGGTGGGAAGGGGTTGACATAGACGGATTGTCTTACCTGTGGGTTGAGCTCATTGATCTTCTCAATGGCAACTTGGATGTTCCCAGAATGAATCGCAGTACGAATGTCAACTCGTTCCTGAATCGACTCGATATCTGCTCTGGGTTGGATATTGGCCTCTAGTGCGAATTTCTTCGCAGCAGCTGGGTAGCCGTTGGTAATTAGGTAATCCATGACTAGATAATTGATATCACTTTAAGAGGACAGTCAGCATTTGAAGTCCATCTGGCAAATTTGTGGATGACAAGGCAAAAGTTAAACGAAGGGTTCAGAAACACAAGTCAATTTATTCTCCTCAGTTGTTTTTCAGAGAGATTCCCAACTTGATTTCAAGGTACATCATGCAATCGTGGCGCGCGACGGAAAGGTGGGGTAAATCACTCACGTTTTGGATGGTTTCACCTCCTCGACCTTCCGTTCGAACTGATGCCATGTTGGCGTCGTCGAGGAAGAGGGAGACATCTGCTTCCCGTTAAAACCAGGCAACCACGCGGCACACACGGCATGTCAGGACGCATACGTAATTGGCAGAGGACATGGTGAAGAGCTTAGTGGATGCGAAATTTCGCAGTAGGATGTCAAGTGACCTGATAGCGAGCAAGAGGCCGTCTGTGAAGATGGAAAGCTTCGCAGACGGGAGCCATTAGGATGCTCGGGGCAGAAGAGTGAGTGAAGAGAAGGAGAGAAGAAGAAAAAGAAACGGCGGGAAGGAAGAGCTCTCTTTAAAGGAAGAAAAAGCGGCGGGTGTTAGGTCACGTTCACCAGCTAAGCCTAAAGCCGCAAGCGAAGGTCACGTCCCCTCCTAGTCCCAATTGGGGCAAGCGCCGATCACTTGGTCCCTTTTGGAATTGGAGTGTATCGCCGAAGTCTCTCTTATCGGTTCCAAAGCTTGTGTCGTCGGCGCTTCTTTGCTGCTGGGGTCCTAACTGAATTTTGCTTTTGTCCTCCCCGGTTATGATCAGGCCGGCCTGTCACTAGTTCCCTTCGTTTCGGCAGGTCAGCTCTTCGGTGAGGGTCGGCAAGATGCAGTCAATCTCCCCTGTATACTCGTCCGCGACAGACAGGCGCTACTCTCCACCATGGGCGGATTTGAGTATTATCGGTATCGCAGGCAGCTCCGGCTCCGGCAAGACCTCGGTGGCCATGGAGATTGTGAAATCCCTGAATCTTCCCTGGGTTGTGATTCTCGTAATGGTATATGCGACCGCTTTCATAATTGTTTAGCCTAATAAATCCTTCCACTTCGTGTTCTCTAACGGCGGTGTGGTATAGGACTCCTTCTACAAGAGCTTGTCCCCAGAGGATCATGCCAGAGCCCACCGCAATCAATATGACTTTGACTGCCCGGAGTCTCTGGACTTTGATGTCCTGGTCCGAACGCTAAGGGATTTGAAGCAAGGGTATGGCATATGAGTATCTTGTTGTAGTTTCTGGTGGGGCACGTGCCATATATGGAAGCTGACAGAGTTTCTTCAAACTGTCTAGAAAGAAAGCAGATATCCCCATTTACTCGTTTGCAGAACACCAGCGTCAGCCTGAAACGAGTACCCTGTATTCCCCTCGCGTATTGATCCTGGAGGGTATTTTGGCCTTGCATGACCCGAGGATTATGGAGCTTCTAGATGTCAAGGTAAGCTTCGCCCGTCCCTTAGATCTGAACCGTCGCTCATGTTATCTAAATAGATCTTTGTTGAAGCAGACATGGATGTCTGTCTTGGGCGCAGAAGTCAGTTACCCTACTACTCAACCTTTTGGTACTGCTCTAACGGAGACAAATCTAGTCATGCGCGATGTTCGTGAGAGAGGAAGAGACGTCGAAGGAATCGTCAAGCAGTGGTTCACTTATGTGAAGCCCTCATATAAGCAATACGTTGAACCTCAGCGAGCTGTCTCTGGTATGTACGACTTCTCCATAAGCTGAATCAGGTCTGACAAGCTCCAGACATCATCATTCCCCGTGGTATCGAAAACCGAACGGCCATTGGTAAGAGTGTCTGCTCCTTCCCCCTTGGATCCTCACACTAATTCCAACTTAAGAAATGGTTGTGCAACATATTCAGCGCAAGCTTGATGAGAAGTCAGAGAAGCATAATGCAGAGCTCAACCGGCTTGGTCTCATCGCCTCGGAAGAGCAACTATCTTCTAACGTCTTGATGATGCCCCAAACACCGCAATTTGTTGGCATGAACACCATCCTCCAGGATCCGGCAACGGAACAAGTTGACTTTGTGTTCTACTTTGACCGACTTGCCGCTTTACTGATCGAGAAGTGAGTCAACCTGGGCGTCGCTGTACTCTGCGCACATTGCATGAGTTTGTCAACTCATAACTTACATGTTATTACTGCACAGGGCTTTGGATATGACCAACTACGTATCACAAGCAGTGGATACACCTCAATCGACCAGCTATGAGGGCTTGAACCAAGCTGGTGTAGTGTCTGCCGTCGCAATCCTTCGCGGAGGCTCTTGCCTCGAGACCGCGCTCAAGCGCACCATACCTGACTGCATCACCGGTCGTGTGCTGATCCAAACCAATGAAAAGAACGAAGAACCCGAGCTTCACTACCTTAAGCTCCCTCCCAATATTGAGAACCACGAGAACGTCATGCTCCTCGACCCTCAGATGTCCAGTGGAGGTGCTGCTCTAATGGCGGTCCGTGTCATGATTGACCACGGTGTCCAAGAGGACAAGATTATTTTCGTGACCTGCGCTGCAGGAAAGATCGGACTGAAGCGACTGACTACAGTGTTCCCTGGAATTAAGGTTATAGTTGGTCGCATTGAGGAAGAGCGCGAACCTCGGTGGATTGAAAAGAGATATTTCGGCTGTTGAGTTACGGTCAGGATCTAAGCCTGGAGTACATGAGCTGTGGAAATAGGCCTATATATATGCATCTCACTACATATACATGATATAATGAAAAAAAATTTCTATAAAACACAATTTGAGCATGTGCAGCCACTAAAGCAGACGACGGAGTTAACCTGAACCTTCGGAGAAACGCACGGACCACATCCAAGGCTCGCCGAAGAATCTTTGGTTCCGCCGCCAAAAAATTATCCATGATCATCACTTTTTCAGCAATCACCTCAAACCAGACGATCCACTTTTCTTCTATTACCAGAGAGTATTAAACTTTTTATTCTATACACACCTATCAAAACAATACTTCATTGCCGACAGGCGTGCCACCATGCCTGACCACAAAAAGAAAGGCAAGAAGGCCGGCGCCGCCAAAATTGACTCCGGCTCCGTGATCAGTATGTACCCTACCATCAATCCCTTCTAATCTCTCAAAGCGAGAATGTAACGCATAACTAACCTACTCTCTTTGCTGCAACTAGCCGATCCTAGATTCGCCAACATCCAAACCGACCCTCGCTACCGTCTCCCCAGCAAACGCCAAACCCATGTTAAGCTCGACAAGCGTTTTGCGCACATGTTGCGCGACAAGGATTTCTCCCGGAACGCCGCAGTCGACAGGTACGGCCGGAAGCTCGCCAGCGACGACACCAAGAAACAGCTCGAGCGATTCTACCAGCTGGACGAGGATGCGCAGGAGGGAGAGGAAGATGATGAAGAAGGCGAGGAGGAGGAAGACGATGGCCTCGAAGATGCCAGTGTTGCAGATGACGAGGAGGTGCTTAGAGAGCTGAGAAAGGCAGAGTCGTACGACCCGGCGAGAGATGGAGGATTCGACGAGTCTTCGTCCTCAGAGGAGGAAAGCTCCGACGAGGAAGATGAGGACGAAGAGGAGTTTGAAGGGTTTGGCGAGGAGCTGGAATATCCTGATAAGCAGCGGGCGGATGTGCCTACTGGCGATGTTACGGATCGCATTGCGGTGGTGAATTTGGATTGGGACAATATCCGCGCGGAGGATTTGATGGCTGTTTTCTCCAGTTTTGCGCCGACTGGTGGGAGGGTCTTGAAGGTCGCTGTTTATCCCAGTGAGTTTGGCAAGGAGAGGATGGAGAGGGAGGAGACGGAGGGGCCGCCTAGAGAGATCTTTGCGTCGAAGAAGGGTAGTGACTCCGAGGATGAGGATGAACTCGATTCTGATGAGGAGGAAGAGAAGATCAAGCAATCTATGCTGAAGGAGGATAAAGGCGAGGAGTTCAACTCGACACAGCTACGGAAGTATCAAATGGAGCGCCTACGTTACTTCTATGCTATCTTGACTTTCTCGTCTAGGGACGTGGCAAAGCACGTTTACGATTCCGTCGATGGTGCTGAGTACTTGTCTAGCGCCAACTTCTTCGACCTCCGCTTTGTGCCTGAGGACACTGACTTCTCTGACGATACGCCCCGCGACGAGTGCACACGCATCCCCGATGGGTACCAGCCGAACGAGTTCGTTACCGATGCGCTGCAGCACAGCAAGGTCAAGCTGACCTGGGATATGGAGGATAAGTCGCGCAAGGAAGCTCAGGCTCGGGCCTTCCGGGGTAGTCGCAAGGATATCGACGAGAACGACCTGAAGGCTTATCTGGCTAGTGATAGCTCCGATGATGAGGAGGATGAGGGTGGCGTGGAGATTGTTGATACTACGCGCGGGGATGGGGAGACAAAGAAGGTGTCTAAGAAGGAGGAAGAGAAGCAACGTCTCCGAGCTCTACTTGGTCTTGGTGCAGAGCCTACGCCTTCGTCCAAGTCCGATGGTCCTGTTGGTGAGATGGAGGTTACCTTCACTTCCGGTCTGGCTGGTGGTCCCAAGGGCGACAGCATCTTCGAGAACGAGCCTGAGAAGGATGAGACTACGATTGAAAAGTACATTCGCAAGGAACGTGAGAGAAAGAAGCGCAGAAAGGAGAAGCTTAAGGCCACCAAGCGTGGTGAGGATGGTGAGCAGGAGGACGAGGTCGCTGATGCCTCGGATGCTAAGGAACAGCCCCAGGAGGACGACTTGGGCTTTGACGACCCCTTCTTCGACGACCCTAGTGGCAAGGCTACTGCTGCTGCTCGTCGCAAGGAAGAGAAGCGCAAGAAGCGGGAGGAGCGTGCAGCGGAGGAAGCTGCGGCCGCAGCCAAGCGGGCGGAGCTGGAGCTGCTCATGATTGACGACAACAACAAGCCTGGCATCAAGCACTTCGATATGAACGAGATTGAAAAGGCGGAGAAACAAGCTCGCAAGAAGAACAAGAAGGGCAAGAGTAAGGGCAAGCAAGTTGAAGCTCCCAAGGACGACTTTGAGATGGAAGTCACCGATCCTCGTTTCGCTCGACTCTACGAGAGCCACGAGTTTGCCATCGATCCCACCAACCCCCGATTCAAGGCGACTTCGGGTATGAAGGCTCTGTTGGAGGAGGGTCGCAAGCGACGCAGGGATCGGGATGATCATGCAGACGAGGAGGATGCTCCTCGTGAACAAAAGAAGAAGCAGAAGAAGAGTGCGTCCAAGGAGGGCGGATCGGATGATCTGAAGAAGCTCGTCGAGAAGGTGAAGCAAAAGACCAAGCGCAACTGAGTGGCTTGTACTATATTTAGTTGACTACCTACTACCCCTACTACTACTTCTCAGATATCATGAAAGCGTCATCACTGGGATGAAGATGCAGATACCATTGGCTAAAAGGGTCTTGTGTTTAATTTGAGAGATTTTGAGCGTCTGCCTATGATCTGGACGGCAATGTCATTGTTTGTTCCTTGTGTACCCCTGCGCTGTAGCTTGCCGTATTATTATTCGACCTATCGCTGTGGTTCTCATTAGTCCAAGCTACTTTCCCCCCTGATTTCACCATGTATAACCCATGACGGGCGTAGGCGAGTCATAACAGACAATGTATAGATCCGGCATTCACGGAGGAAATCCTGGTAAATCAGAGTCGGGTTGAGGGGCGTTGGAATCCCGACTGGCGCAGATTCCCGCCCAAACGCTGCCTAGCCCATGCAACATGAGGTGATTGTGTGACGGATTGGGCCGTGTGCAGGGGGGCAGTCGAGCGCTGACAGGCCCGAAAGGCCGTGAAGTTGCAGGCGATCGGCCGCGATGAGATGAGGCTGAGATCATGTGCGGTGCGGCCAGCTTCACCGCCCTTTCGGGAACTCGTCGCTCTTTCTTCCCTTTCGCTTTCCTTCCCCAATATTCCCCTCCTCCTCCCTCCCTCCCTCTTCTCTTCCCTTCCCTTCCCTTCCCCTCTGGCCAATTCATTACCCCCCGGCCCTGCCAATTCATTCCCACTTGTTTGCGTCTCCCTCCGCAGTGGGAAGTCGCCCCAAATTCATCTGGATCGATTGGCTTCGATTGCATCCCAGTCACTTAATTCTTTCCGGCCCAATTGGCGGCTGACTAACCCCCTTCTGGACACGGGCAGTCACTACTACCACTAGTTCACTACTATCACTTTCCTTTTACGACTACTTACTTTGCTTCACTTACCACTCCTATTACTGTCTATCCCCTGTGTCTGGCCTCCACAGTGAAAGAAGGTTCCCCCGTTCATTCCTTCTGGATGGCTTGATCATGGTTGGCATTCGGCGGGATTGAACGATGGGTGCTGCAGCTCAGTCTAGTATATCTGTCTGAGTGTTGGTTTCTTGCCTTGATTTCCTAGCTTAATCATTTCTTTTCTGTTTGCTTCTCGGCTCGAGTGTTCGACCCCTCCTTCATCGGCATTCTCTCACTGGCCTTGACTTCCTGCAGGCTTGCCTTATCCCGAATTGCCATCATGCTGGGTCGACTGTTGAGCACTGCCGCGGCTACTCTAAATCCGGCGACCTACAACGCCAAAAACGCTCACCAATTAGAATCCGTTACGGAGGAGGAACATACATCTGGCTTACTATTCCCCGATGCTAGTCTCCTCCGACATTCCCATACGCACGCATATCCGCTGCATACGGCCTACAATTCCCCGAACGCTTCTACGGCTGGTGCCTATGATGATCGCGGCGGTGTCGAGTTGGACCCGTTGAAGGATTTCCGGGTGATTATTGCACAGAATGCATTGGGAGATCGAGATGCTTGTGTCCTGTTGGACACACGCGCCAGTTCGCAGGATCAGACTTCTATGGGACTTGGTCTGGAACCTCAGGTGTTCGACAATACCACCGGAGCGAGACATGCCCGTACGGTTTCGAATCTCACCCGTGGGCCACGGCGGGGCTACTTGTCGCAGTCGTCAGCCGCGGAGCCAAGCCCACTCTCTATCGCCGCGGAGACACGGAGGTCACCTCCCATGTCGTCTGGCGCTTTCATGAGGGCTCGTGGTCGTAGTTCCACACTATCGCCGGCGGGAAGCTATCATGAACCTGGCCACCCTCGCTATGCTGCGGACTCGAATGATACGGGTCTGTTAAATTGCATCTTCGGCAGCAGTGCGTTTAGCTATAGGGGGTCATCGACGAAGATGCATATTATCTCTGCGGATGATGAACCTGGCAAAACTGCGCCTACGTCCCCTGCAACCCGCAACTCGCTTTCGCGGGCGTATACAACTGGAAGTCAATCGGCCTTTACAAGCACCAGCCGCGGGAATGAGTCCAGACCACCAGCAAAGGTTACGATACTCCTGACTAGAATGTTCAGCGTCCACCTGCCCGAAGGTGGTGAGACGTCTCCCGATGGCATGAATGCGGCTGGTTCTGTGAACCAAGATTCACTTCCAAACAGCGGTTTTCCCTTTCCAGACGTCACGAAGCGTCGGAAGATCAAGGAGAAAAAGACGCCGATGTATGCTGTAGCAATTACTATCCAGATCCCGCTCCTCTCTCGGAATGCAGGGCGACCGGCCTCTCGGTTTAATGCTCAGGGTCCGGACTCTCCCAAACCGGGAATGTCGTGCTCCTTGGATTCGGACTACCGTTTCCGTGGGGGTTTCCTCGATGACAGTTTGTCCCTTGCAAGCCCACCTGCGAGCCTGGATGAGCGCATTGATCTTCTGGTGGATCATTGGGATGTAATAAACCGCACCCTGTCACA